GAAGCAGAAGGGTTTAGAAGAATTACTTTTTTTCTTGATAGGCCAGATGTTATGGCCAAATTTATCGTAAGTAAACCCTAAACCCTCATAAACCCTCATAAACCCTCATAAACCCTAAACCCTAATCCCTTGTCAAACCCTAAACCCTAAGCCCTCATAAACCCTAGATAAACCCTTAACCCTAATCCCTAAACCCTTGTCAAACCCTAAACCCTAATAAACCCTAGACACAGCCGAAACCCTAAACCCTTGTCAAACCCTAAACCCTCATAAACCCTAGACATACCCGAAACCCTAAACCCTAATCAAACTCTAAACCCTTGTCAAACCCTAAACCCTAATCAGAGTTTAAGCCGTAAACCCTCATGAAACTCTTTGCCCTAGTTAAACCCTAAACCCTTATGAAACTATAAACCCTAATCAAACCCTAAACCCTAAACCCTGATATACCCCTAAACCCTAAACCCTAATCGAGCATCTACCTCTAAACCCTAACTATTAACAAACCCCTATAGCCCTTATACATGAAAATAAGGGTTTAGGGTTTAGGGTTTAGGGTTTGTGTGCAGGTGCGGCTAGAAGCAGACGAAGCAAAGTACCCTACTTTATTAAGCAACGGAAACAAGATAGAGGGGGGCCCCCTGGGGGGCCCCCAGGGGGGCCCCCAGGGGGGCCCCCCAGGCTATCACTATGCGGTGTATGAGGACCCTTTTAAGAAACCTTGTTATTTGTTTGCGCTTGTTGCGGGGCCCCTTTATCATATAGAAGATACATTTACCACGATGGTTTGTTTTTTTAAACCCTAAACCCTAAACCCTGCGTATATAAACCCTAAACCCTAGAAAGATAAACACTAAACCCTATAGACGGGTTAGGGTTTATGCTTGGAGGGTCTAGATAAACCCTAAACCCTAAACCCTACAGAGATAAACCCTAAACCCTACAGAGGGTTCAGGGTTTATGTATGTAGGGTTTAGATAAACCCTAAACCCTGCATACATAAACCCTAAACCCTACATACATAAACCCTAAACCCTAATTAAACACTAAGTTAATTTGATTGTTTCTTTAGTGGTTCTTCGATACACCAAAATAAAAACATAAACCCTAGATAGATAAACCCTAAACCCTACATATGTATATATTTATAATCTCTGTATATATACATATATGTATATATATAACA